CCCGGGGGGGGGGGGGGGGGGTGCAGGAGGCAGTCAATCAATAACTCTCTCATCATTGATGTCTCTTCCTCTCCCTCTCCCTTCATCTCTCTGAAATCAATAAAGACATGTTTTAAAAAAAAGAACAGATGGAGCATTTGGAATTCTGGATAAAGTAATTTTTCTCAAAATGGAGGACCCTTCATAGCTGCTGCTCCCAGAATCTGTTTTGATGCTCCCTGAAGACTTCTATGATCATCACTAAACCCCAGTTCCACTCTCCCTTCTCCATCTACTTGACTTGCAGACACACTTATCCATCTCTAAACAGCTCTTAAGGAATCCAGACTCACTACTTGTTCTTCTGACTACAGTAAATGTTAAAGAGGCTAGAAGGAAAAACGCAGGCTATCAGAGATTTTAACATTAAGGCTTTGTTACTGCGCTCTTCACGGAACTACTCTCAAACACTATTCACAATGTCATCAACTTAACTTCCACAACCCCTCTGAAAACTGGCCTTGCCGTCTTAGAGACCATAAACCTTGCAGGTTAAGAAATAGCATTTAAAGTTATTCCTAGGGTACAAACTTCTTCACTCGAAGAGATAAAATGTTGCAAGAGTAACCTCATAGCCAAATGCATTATTTTTCCAAATCCCAGGCCAAACAAGTAATTCTCATCTTCTCTGCCAAGGTCTACCGTGGTTTCTTTTCCCCTTCCCTCCATCACTGACGAACATTTACTGGCTTTTTCAATGTGCCACAGATGCCAAGTTATCTCTTCCATCTCTGTCCTGAGCTCTTATTCAGCCCTACTGTTTACCCATTTCCATCTATTTCTCAAGTAGACTATAAACCTAGCTGTGCAGACAACATCTCTCAATTCTCTATACGTGCTTTAGGTAATAAACCTGCCATAAATATTTTTAAGACCTACTTCTCAGCCTTTGTGAAGCCTATGTCTAATAACATGGACAGATGCCCAAACAGTATAAAACATTTCTAGGAAGCTGCCAGTAAAACAAGGCATTTCTAACAGCAATCTAGACGACTATACCAAGAAATAAGTGGAGAATTTTGCACATTCCCAAAGTAGTAACTGCGAACTAAGCATTCACTTTGAAATAAAACTTTCTCTGCTTAAAAGAAATGATTCCCCAATTTTTTTTTAGATAAAAGACACATTTTATAAGTCATTTAAAACACACACAGAGACATACATGCACTCAGCAAAATACTGAGGCCAAAACAATTCCAAAGAACAGAAAGACATTTCCATTTACAGAGAAGAAAAAAACAGCCAGAGGAATTTTAGTCATTTAGTCACTTTTAGTCTGTCATGTTGAAATTGGATACCAGATATGTATTTATGTACCAATTATTATATTCCAGATTGGCAAGCCCCTGGGAAGTGAAGCACAAACACAACTCTCAGGAAGTTTGATTACAACCTTCTAGACAGGTGCCTACTATGCCAAGAAAAACACAAATGTTCACCATACACAAATTTAATATGCATAAATGCAACTACGTGCACTTGAGTCTTAACCCATCCACCTTTCCATTCATTATGCATGTGCACTGTATCAGTCTTGAGGTTGGAGGTGTGAACCTGCTCTTTCTATATAGTCTGACCCACTTCCCAAATGCTCTTAGCATGTACTTATCACCTGCCCAGAATGAAGCTAGAGCTTGATAATTAGTATCTGTCCTGCAATGTGGTCCCTACCTATAAACCAGTCATTTTGAAAGTGTGGTGCCTGGACCAGGGGCTTCCGCATCACCTGGGAATCTGGTAGAAATGCAAGTTCTCAGGTTCCACTCCAGAACTAGTGAATCAGGAATTTTAACCACCTTGGTGATTCTGATGCACAGCAAAGTCTGAGAACCACTGCCACAAAGCCAACTACTTCACCTGTGCTCTATGGAAGAAAAACTGACCAAGGGTAGTTTTAACAGCAGAAATTTCATCTACCACTGATATTAAAATATAAAAGGTCCTAAGACTCCAAACATAAGAAGAAAAAGCTTCCTAACTTTGAGTTGATTCTCATTATCCAGGGAGATTATGTAAAATGTATATTATCAAAACTACCCGGTGCTTTTCCAAAATACACATTTCCAAGGCCCTGCCCAGAGGAGAGAAGGCCCCCTTAGGAATGAGCATTTTAACAAGTTCCTCGGGCAATTCTTTGCACCATGAAGTTTAAGAATGGCTACAACCAGTGACTTCAATCATAAACTGACCTACTGTTTTACAGATTGATGTTTTCATTGACATAACTGCCTGACTACCCTTAATATGCTACAAATCCAAAGAGTAGCAATTTTAAACTGGAAACCATCAACTGTCATGTTCCCAGGTAAAAACCATGACGCCACCTGTTTCTATAAAACTAGAAATCTGATGTTCACATTAGAAATTCCAGGTGTTAGCAAACTGCTGCTTTTTCAACACATGTCTGCACTCAGGCAGGATAAAAAGAAAAATATTATCCTTAGTCCTGAATAAACTCCCAAAGGTCTCATAGCTATTTAACTTTTCCAATCTACTGCCTTAAGTAGTAAATTCACTTCCCAAGATCTCAAGAGGATAAAAGACGAGAAAGTGATGGTTTTCCTTAGAAGACTTTCCTAGGGCCAGCATCTGAGTTAGCCATTTATATTCACAGGGTCTTCATACTACCTCAACTTAAAATTTTTTTTAGAAATCAGAGCTATCCTGATAGCTTAAGAACTAATTTAAAGCACTGACTAGGAAATGGAAGGTATTGTTATAACCCAAAACACACCTTCATCTGCAAAAGCTCCAAAATCAAACCAAAGAAAAATTACTGAGCTATTATCAATCCAGTTAAGATCCTATTCCTATCTCTGGGAGTTCAACAATAATTTACAACAAGAATTTGGTGCCAGGCACCATGGAATCAAAGATGACCCATCTAGAAGCAGCTATATTCTCCTAGCAAGACCTTCTACACTAATTCAGTTGTCTTACAGCATCTACACTTGCTACCAGAACACCAACCTACCAACATGATCATTAGCAACCCAAACGGGTTAAATTTTAATTTCCTAGAATGTACATCTAGTAGTTCCTCAGTCCAATGAAGAAAGGCAAGTGAAAACTACAAGTCACTGACTACCTAATGAATGTCAAGAATGAAATGACACAATTTCACATCACATCTCATCTTCAAAGGAACCCTGTGAATTACTTTCCAGTATCCCATTTTACAGATGGAAAAACTCAGAGCTCAGAGAGGTTAAGTAATACAATTACTAAGTGGCAGGGCCAGGGTTGAAAGTTAAAGCTATCTAATTCGAGGATAGACAATTATCTCTTACTGAGAAGACCTCGGCAAGCAAGTCAATTTCAATCTCTCTAAACCTGAGTCATTTTCTATAAACCAGTTATTATAAGACTGAAATGAAATGGTGCTCATAAATGAGAATTATTAAAGTGCTTTTTACACACAGAGTTTCTGGTGATAAAGCAAGAAAGGCAAAATCCCCGAACCAGCATATCCCAACACCTTCAGAAACAGGCAGAAGATACTTCTTAGATGCCTCAAGCTAAAATTAGCTGAGGCAGTCTTCTCTATTTTTAGTTGAAAAGGACTGTGGAGCTGGGCCAGGTTCCCAGGCTAGGGCTTACCCAGTGGTCAACTTCAGACAAGCCAGAAGTCAATACCCAATTTTGTCTTACTGGGAAGCACTCACTGCCCCTGCATATACTGGGCTTTTCTTACCCCAATTCTAGGATTGCCTATCATCAAAACCCTCCCACTTCCACTGCCCACTATCCTGGAATGCATGGTGAGTTCAAGTCATGACTATACTTTTTTGCCTTGTAACTTAGATCAAAATTATGTTTACCATCAAGAAGCTTTTCTCATTTTAAAAGGCTATTAACAGCCCTAGACAGTTTTGCTAAGTGGTTAGAGCATCAGCCCACCCACTGAAGGGTCCTGGGTTCAATTCTGGTCAAAGGCACATGCCTTGGTTGCGGGTTTGATCCCTGACCCAACTGTGGCGCATGCAGGTGACAACCAATCGACGTGTCTCTTTCTCCCTTCCACTCTCTCTGAAAAAGCAATGGAAAAAATATCCTCGCATGAGGATTAAAAATAAATTAATTAAATAATTAAAGGTTATTAATAATTTCTACTCACAGGATGGTAGAGTAAATCTAATTGAAACACTTAACTTCCAACTGTGTCCTGAATGTCAGGGCTCTAGAAAACAGCATGGTCCCTTCCCTAAAAAGCCTTATAGGCCAATTGGGGAAACAGCTATCTTAACCATTCCAGTGCAATGTGAGCATTTTCATATACATAATTGTGAACTGCTGAGGATCACACAAGAGCATTATAGAAGGCAGAGATCATGAGAGGCAAACAGCTGAGGTGACAGTAAGTGAGGACTTAAAAGAATACATGAATCATTAAGTGATGTGCCCTGTAAGAGATTATTTAAAATAACAAACAATGGGGTGACAAAAAAGAGAGTAGGTCTTATTTTTTAAATAGTGGTTTTTGTCTCCATGTAAATTGCTGGAAGGGGACAAGTATAATCTAGTATCTGGAAAAAAATCACAACAATCACTAGCAACGAGATTTAGAAAGTGCAATGATAAAATTGAGAAGCTCAGCTGA